AAAATCGATTAGCAGCTAAACCAGCTCCTCCTCATAACCCCAAAAGGAATGTGAAACACTGGCACCAGTTTATAAGTTAATGCACAAAATCAGACAAGAATTACCAAATACTGCTCTACTTATGAACCAATATTGCATTCATAGCAACACTAACAAGATCCAACAGATAATATTGTTTTCTCTGAAAATATTCCTACAAGAGCTTTATTTCAAGTAGATCTAACAAACTATATTCGCCATGTGACATAGATTTTAGTAACCTCAAATAAGCCACAGAGCAGTAATTCCCATCAAAACTTCTATAATCATAAATCTACTTAAAATAAGTAGTTACCAAAAAGGGATTTAGCCTCCTCGGATCTCCTTTTCCTTAGCCTTGCACATATCTTCAGCTGTCTTGATAAACTTTTTGGTCAAGTCATCAATCTGTCAAGTATAGAGGAATATTTGAGTTAAAAGTTCGATACACAGCAAAGCATTCACCACGGAAATGAATTTAACTTACTTCTTTCTCAAGTCTTTTAGCATCATCCTCAAAAATAGTTGGACCGGCCTTTTCCTTCTTATCTTTTTTATCTTTATCTTTTTCTTTTTCCTTCTTCTTGGGTGGTGCTGCCTTCTTGATGCTATCTAATGCCTGTGAACGCAAAGTCCATAGTTTATGTGATTTTAACCATGCCAGAAATTTTTAAATTTTTTGCCCAAATTATTAAATTCACATTGAAAAGTGGCAATTCTTGGGAGAAATAATATAAAAGAATAATTTGAATTTATCTATATTGTAATAGATAAATGTAAGGATGATAACTCAACCGAAATTTTTCGATGCATTTATACAAGTATCATAATTCATGTAAAAACTTTCATATGTACTTTCAATTTGAAATGATAGAGAACAAGTCTACAAATAAACAACTCTTAGGAGGGTTGAAGCTTTCTCAATGTGTTTTTGGAGTTATGAAACTTGACATATGACAAGTTCCCTGATTACCTTTTGTCGAGCTCTTCTTATGCTCTGCTTCACATCTTCGGATGATTTAGCAACCACCTTGCATACAGCCTGCCAGAAAACAATTTAATGACATCCGCAATTTACTTAATTTAAGAATAAACAAATGCTTTTATCTGTTGACGAACAAAATAATTTAATGATCAAAGAAATAACGACTTACTTGCATGTGCTCTTTGGTTAATCTGTCCGTCATAAACACCAAAACACATTAGTCAGTCAATAATTTGATCAAAGAAACATTTCCATATTTCGATGCTGTGGGGTAAACCACCGTGTTGATTAAACGAAACAAAAATTAAATCATTTTTAACTGTGGCCATTAATAAGTTGAAACGATCTATGTTCCGGAAGAACAGGAAGTGTTTCATATCAAAAGAAAAGAAATCTTACGGAGGGATGGGTACAATCAATCGTTGGTTATCGGTTTTGGGGTTTAAGCCCAGTGGAGATGAGATAATAGCCTTCTCCAATTCCTTCAGGGCCTACACAAGCCAACTCACTTTTCTTCAAACCACACATCCACAACTAAAATAACCTAAAACAACCTAAATAAAGAAAAAAAAACTAAAATAACCTAAATGCTGATTTACCCAAAAATTGTTGTTAAAAGGCCAAAAACACTTTTCTAGATATTTCATGTTTATTTATATTTTAAAGTGCTTGCAGAAAATTAAGGAGACTATAACTTCTTTTGCCTCCAAAAACATTAGTACACTGATACAGGGCTTTTAACCAGAAAGAAAAGAAAAAAAAACAAGAGCCTGATTATCTTTCAAAACCACATATACCCAGTCATGGAATTTTTTACCCAATTGCAAACACCCCTCGAAATTTATAGACTTATAGACTTAAATAGTACCACTACTGGCTGTGCAAGTTGTAAAGCAGCAAAAATGTGTTTACATATGTATAACAATAAGTATTTGTAATTAAGATCAATAGCTGGACGGGTATTCAAAGGAATTAACCAGAATAATTCAGCAAAGGTAATTACTCTACGACGACAAAGTATCATTTTACATTACATTGGGATCATAGGGAGTGACTGCCAGTGTTTTCGGGTCTAATACAGAGACAACTGCCATCCTGCTAATGGGCGTCTTCACGCCATACTGTTCAACCACAATGTGATCGATCATCCCTGAAATTTTATCATCATGTCAAATACAAATCATTTGATTCAAACGAAAATACGCTCATAGAAAATGAATGCACCTGATGATGCTCTTCCAGTACGCAGTTTGGTTAACTCCCGAGAAAGAGAATCAATTGCCGCATTCATCAGTGAGTGACAAGTAGTTTTGATGCGAGCTGCTATGTCACCTCCTTCTTCGTCCTCAACATCATCCTCTTCCTCCTCCACTTCCTCACTCTCCTCATCCTCTTCTTCTTCCTCTTCCTCTACACAACAATATTAACCGAAAATAAATCAAAACCATACATTCTGCTACAGAACCTGTACATAATGAGTATAATAAAAATACTTACTACATGAATTGCCGTTTGTTACTTCTATAAAGAAATCAATCTGATTAGAGGATGAATCGAAGGATTTACTCAAAAAAGTTGAAGTCTTTTTTTTTTCTCTTACACCTTCTAATCAAATTAGGATTCCAGAAACTGTAACTAAACAGAGCAGAAGTAAAATAATATCAATGAAACGTGAAATCTAGATTCCTTAGCACAACTCAAATGATTTAAACACCATAATTTACATCGTTGAACAAAATTCATATTGTTTCGTGACGAGAACATTGCGACTAAGGTCCTTGACTCTAAAGAGACATCGGCATAAGTAGCTAAAGTAAAGTAGGCGCAGAAAAATGAGTGTGCCCACATTTACAGTGGGAGAGAGAGAGAGAGATTACTAATTTGTGGTTTCCTCCCTTTGGCGAATCCTCTCTGGGAATTGAACTGATAAAAACCCGCTGATGGAGAAGCTAGAAATCTATCAACAGCAGCAGCAGATTCATGGGTATTGCCGAAATATGAGGAGTTGATGTATGCAAAGGTCTGGTGTGAACTGATAGAGGCTGTTCGAAGTGCGTAACGGAAGTTCTTAGAAAGAATTAAGGCTCGTCTAAAAGAGACTGCCATTGTTGTATCTCAAGTGCAAGAATTGGCTTTTCCTTTGTTCTTCGTGCGGTTTTCACATACTAGGGTTTAAGGCCTTCTCATTTTTTGATTGGATTTTAAATTACAGTGAGTGACTTTTAAATAATATTTAAAATGTAATGACTAAAATTATTGTGAAAAATTGTATTGGTGGCGGTAATTAAAAATATGTGACTTGATAACTAGTAAATCAAAGTTGAGTTTTGACCTATAACCAATCGCGCGCTTCCTAACATGAATCGAGTTTGCGTGGAGTCGGCTCTAGGTGACAGACCTTTTCGGCCTAATCTGTAGCATAAGTTATCGCATAATATATCTGCACTTGCTTAATTATCTCCGTATGTCTGTCGCATAATTTATTTCATAATAAATGCTCAATTATCTTTATTTTTTTTCTATTTTTTGTATTAAATAATAACTATTCAAGTAATAATCATATATTACGAATTCACAAAATATGTAATTTCAAATAAATTAATTTGTGATTAGTTATGTGTATAAATTTATGTGTAATCATCGCATATGTTAATTGAAAAGTAAAAGAAATAGTTATGCGGATCACAGTTTGATGCATTTTTAATAAAGAAATAATTATAATGATTCTGCGACTCGATATTCGTATCTCATTGGCAGTCTATCTTAGCGTATCTGAAACGTTTCCACTTCTTTTTCTTTTTCCTTTTTGAATTAAATAATAATTATGCGAGTACGAATTTACCAAAAATAAGATTTTAAATATATTAATCTGCGATTAATTATGCGCATAAAAATTCGTATAATAATCGTACAAATTAATAAAAAAATAAAAGAATTGTTAAAAATAAACTGATCTGCGACTATATGCGATAGACCCGCAATTGACCGAACTGTTCACCCAGATCTATGCATATATACTTGGCAAATTTTAAGATAACCACAAGATATTAAAATTATTTCATTCCTAGGAGGTGGGTGTTTTTATCTGCATCTATACCTAAAAAAATAGATTTATTTGAGTTGAGTAAAAAAAGACCATTTACCAAATTAAAACGTTCCCTACAATCACGCCAATTACAAAAATCTTTCCTCATAATTACAAAAGATATAATATACATAATATACACGATTACAAATACACGACCAGACTTATATACAGAAGATATAGTCATTATATACATACGACATAAATAAAAATACACAAGATAAATCAATCTTGTCATTTTATACAAATTATATACAAAAGATATCCAGAAAATACAAAATATACACATAAAGCCTCATCAGAGCCGGGGGCCTTGTTCTTGTCCGGATGGACTTTCAGGGATAACTTTCTGTATGCCTTCCGGATTTCACCCACGGTGCAATTCTTTTCCAGGCCTAAAATCGAGTAATAATCCTTTTTAGTCCAGATTTGACGGACCATGTGCACGTGCTCCTCCGTGTAGCTTCTCTCGCCATTCAAAAACATGTCTCCATTGACGGAAGCTTCCTCATCCTTCTCGTCCTGAACACTTTTCTTCACGCCATTGGACGGATTAGAGGAGGAAGACGATGGGTCTACATTCTTGCACGTAGATAGAAGATCATCAATAGGTAGATTCTGATTAAGGCGGCGTACAATTCCGAGGAATTTGAGTGCTTTTTGCTTGTTGCTGGCGGCGATTGCCTCCTTGACAATGTTGATGCATCTCACGGCCTCGTCTTTGTTGCTATATATAGAGATTTCTTAACAAACTCTGCGATTTAATCTGAGAGAGAAAATAGATCTCAGAAGAGAGAGAAAGTGGTAACGCCATTTGTTGGTATAATTGCATAAAGAAAATAAATGGTTAGTAAATGTGCAAATAAAATTGCTTTAGATGATATATAATTACTAGCATGTCAATAAATTTTACCTAATAAATATAATCTCTTTTTAATTTTACCTAATAAATAGTGCAAACTTTCCATAGTTACAAAAAACGTTACATAAGCATGTTTTCAGAAATTGACTTGAAGAAACATAAAAGATACTTTTGTTTTCTAATTTATTTAAATTGCTACATATATAATTTATATATATCTATATATATAATTGCTAGCAAAACAATTAATAAAACCTTATTTTCTTCCCTCCAAAAGAAGTTACAAGTACTTATTTACTTTATTTTTATTTTTTATTTTAATTAAAATATTAAACAACTCATTAATCAATGAAAAGTATATATATCTAATCAAAAATATTTTAATAAAACAAATGAAATTATTTGAATTTTCCGTATTTTTTCGTTACAATCCAATTGTATTAAAAAAGTCATATGACTTTTTTTAAAATACAATGGTTAATTAAAATGTAAATATATTTTTAATTATTCTATTATATAATAGTTATTTACTGAAACTGACCAATTATAATTTATATTAAATGATATATGGAAGTCTTCTTAAACTTTTTATTGCTCGTAATTATGTTTTTAATAAGCTCACTCGGCTTTAGTGGTATAACCAAATCTCTTAAAATTTCAATAATAATAATGATAATAATAATAATAATAATAATAATAATAATAATAATAATAATAATAATAATAATAATAAATACTTTTTAATATAATTAATAGGTCATGATCCCTCAAATATATAAAAGCTACATTGTCTATTTTATTTTATGCAATAAATATAGTGATGAAGTTGAAAACTTTTATAATTAATTTTATTAATGATTTTTTTTTAAATGCGATACTATATATTATCTTACTTATAATTTTAAAATTATATACATACATGTAACTTATAATAATTTAAACATCTGTGCATGTGCACATGATCGAATACTAGTAGATATAATTACTAGTTGATGCATTTAATAAAATATTTAATAAAACCTATTTTCATTTCCCTCCAAAAGGAGTTACATTTTTTTTAATTAGTTACTCACTAATCTATTAAAACTGTTACACCTTATTATATTTGTATTATTTATTTTTTGAATCAGTTACTAAATTAATTCTAAATTTGGTAGCAAAATATTCAAATGTGTAACGGCTAATGTTGGAACTTAAAATTGATTGACACATTCAGAGTTGTAACCGTTATATTTGGTGGCATTGTTGGAAGAAAAATATGATTGGCACATATTTGTTTTTTCTAAAAATCAAAAACACCAATAATTTTCTTTATTTATATTAATTTTCTTAATATATGCCACAAATATATAAATTATTTTATTCATTTTACTAACGTAAATGTTGCATGGTTAAAATAAAATTTAAATCTAAATTAATTTTGAATTAACTTAAGGAAAAGTAATAATTTTTATATGATAGAAGTACATGCCTAATTAATAAATACAAACAAAAACGTGTTCTATATCTGTGTAAATGCAAAGGATCAAATACTAGTAATTAGTAAATGTGCAAATAAAATTGCTTTGGATGGTAGGTGGTGTAATTTTCTCTATATACTTCTCCTATATATCACATAGTTTATCACATAATCTTTACATATTTGCTCAATTATCTATGTCTTTATGCAGCATAGTCTATCTCATATTTAATTTGCACTTAGCTAATAATTTTCGTCTGTCTGTCGCATGGTTTATCGCATTATTTGTTTCGCACTTTATAATTTATTTTGGCCTAATATGTTTCACATTTTTTCAATTTACTTCGCCTTTCTATAAAATAAGGTATCGCATAATATTTTTCATTGATAATATTATTTACGCTTTATCAATTATGTTCGCCTTTCTGACGTATAGTTATCCCATAATATGTTTTGCATCTTTTCATTTATCTTCGCATTTCTGTCGCATAATATGTATCGCACGTTATCAATATCATTTTCATTTAGAACTTTATCTGACGAGCATAACACACAAAAACAATCATAAAATTCATAACACGCTGACTCTGAGAATCACAAAACCTGTACTCCCACATCAGCATTAAGTAATAAATTGCAGATTGTTAAAATAGCTCAGAAATCCATCACCATTGGTAATCTTTGTGAGCTTATACTCAAGTGAGTGTCAAAAGGTGGAGCCATTGAGACGCATGCGCAATGAACACCAGAATCAAAACCGAATCTTTTTCCTTGTTATTATTTTTTCTTTGTCACCAGGACATAAAGAATCAGAAGTTGACAAAAACGTTTATTTCGTTTGTTGGGCAAACCTATAGCTGCTCACCAAAGCTATTTTCCATCAGTAGCTGTTAGAGAACATACTGAGTCATGAACTTAGAACTTAATCTTAAGCATGAATCAAGATTAGCATAGGCGGAAGAAAAATTGAATTCATCATTGCCCCTTCTATTTGACTAAACCTATAAATTTTACAACTACTAACTAGAAATTATACATGTAAGAAGGGGTGATGAGGATATTAGCAAGAGACACGAGAAGAAATGAAAAAGTAAGTTTAATGGATTTACATTGTGGCATTAGAAGGGAAGCCAAAAACCGACCAATCCAGTGTTATCCATGCAAAAACTCAAAATCTGGGTTTTCAAGAAGTTCAACAGCAGGTTTCACATTAGTGAAATCTAATTGCCTGAGGGAACTGCTAATATCATCAACTGAGAAGGGTATGCTGCATTACAAAGAAATATATAGTTAGTACAGGGATTTATTATAAATATTATTACTACTACTACTAATGTACTATTATAATTGTTGTAGTTGTTGAGAAAGCTCATATGTTAGAAAGTTACCATGGATCGTCATCCAACAAATATGAACTACTATCAGTGTCATTGGACTCCTCTGTCATAAGTACCTTCATGCTAGATATTACCTAGTAAGACACCAGTGTAAAAATGATTTATATTATGTGATTGAAAATGTTCTCAAAAACCATGACAAAAGTCATGATGAAAACACGAGTAAAAAGAAGATGCAAAAAGCTTACTTCTGGAGCTACACTTGGTGTATTAAAGTTATCATCACAATAGAGAGTACATATTCTATAAAGCTGTTGAACACTTAGCATCTGTGAATAGACACAAAGGGAACTCATAATATCCAGTGGACATAAATATTCATATCAATAGAAGAAAAATGAGAAATATCCAATCTGGTGACATATGAAGTAACATTCTCTTGGAAGTTGATTCTAGAAAGAGAATGACAAACACACACACACACACACACACACACACACAGAGCGAGAGAGAGAGAAAGAGAGAGAGAGAGAGAGATAACAGCAGAACAAAAACTTGATTACTATTAATAACGAAAAACCAAGTTGGAATAGTTAAAGAAAGTGACAGACTTACTGGGCAAAGATCAGTAGTCAGATCATCATAGGTAATTCTTGTTTTTTGGTGTATGACCTGCACAACAACTACAAGACTTACTCCAATACCTATGGGAAACTACATATTATCTCAATATGAGTGAATACATTCATCTTCTGCATAACTGGTTGAGCATCTAAATGTGAAAAATAGTTAATTGAATTTCCTAAACATCAGGTTCAAAACCTAACTGAGTTTAAAAGCTTTGAATTGGTAAACATGATAACCCTTCTATCGTAGGTCCTAATAATAAAAAGGCAAAAGTACATACCAAAAGTCCTACAGCCTGGCGTACATGTTTCAGTTCATCCCATGATAAACCTACACACTGTAAGCAACATCAAGCTTCTCAGTTACTAATCTACATATGGCATGCTATTGCTAACTAAAAGATGAGATAAGATAATACGCCAATTTTATTTTACCAATACGATGGCATATAATGACTATTTAACCAGCTATAAACAATAACATACCTCTTGCGCATGTCCACACCAAACTTCTAATTTATCTAACCCTGCTTTTATGTATTCACCATTGTTAAATGTGCAACATTCTTTGTGGAGAAGAAGGCTGAGAGAACATGAACTATTGCTTACAAGCCATACCAAAAAAATCCAATTACAAAGTTCAAACACTCGCAAAGAAGGATATAGATAAGCTACCTATTAAATAGCTGGATGTTCATATAAGAGAAAACTTGAGTGAAGATATTTTGTACAAGGATTTGAGGAACCTGAAACAACAACTATCATCAGATATAAAAGTGCAAAGGACTCACAGAACAACAATGTAGTCAGGAATACATACAAAATTATTTTTCAATGTAGTCAGAAGCCGATTTAGGCTCTCAATAATGCTTTCCCAATGTCCAGTAACACTACCACTTGGAGAGCCTTCTTCAGAGGACCCATAAGATGAATGCGGAGAGCTTGTGCTCAATGTTTTGGGTGCCTGACCATCATATATTCAGTGTTATGATTCGAAACATATCAACTCATGGATATGCATAATATATCTAAGTACCAATATTCTCGCAGACTCATTTGGACTAACGAAATTGAAATCAATGACTTTAAGTCCCTACAAACATATCTGTGGAGGATATTTTAGAATAGTAATTACATGACAAGTTCTAGATCCATAATTAGCTACTTTCTGACCTATTTTGTTACCCTCGTATAATTGTAAGTTTATATGGCATTTGAGTTTCCTATCAAATCTCCCTATAAATCAAGATTCTTCAGTCTAAATGAGGTTCATCGCAGCAAGAAGAATGTCAACCCAAACTGTAGAAGTAAATAAGAAAATCCATTCACTGATAACCTTTTTGGCATGAAGTGGGAATGGTAAACAAAATAGACATGAACCAGACATTGTAGGAGGAAGTAGAGAGACCAAACTAATCAGGAAAAGGGAACGCTTGGATAGGGAAACACAAATTATTTCCATCTCACTTGGCAGTCTGTACCCCTAAATGCAATTTTCAGGACATCACTAATCGTCGATGCTCCATTTAGAATGGATACACACAAAAAAATAATGCATAAGGCAGGAACCTAAATTTCCAAAAAAAAAAAGAGCAACCTGGATAAAGGAAGATAAAAGAGACGACAATTCCTTCTTCGAATTATCTCGAATGATTCCGTAAATCTTCTCAACATAAGCAGTTAGTTGTTGCTTAAACAACAAAGCTGGATATTTGGCCTCAACCTGTTGTATTCCATCCAATCCAGCAACAGGAAGGTTGTTAGAAGAAGGTGATGACCGAAAACCCTGGAAAAGAAACAAATAATGTTGTGAAGTTCTTTCTCCAACTCAAATTCCAGTGGAAATGGTTCAACCAACTCATTTTCTTTTATAGTTTCGTAAAAGAACAATCCACTAAATATATTTGTACTTGTGCCATCCTTCCGAAAAATGACGTCGGTTGGGGAGGTTTGCTAGCACTTGAAGCACCAGCTTTTAAAGTATGTTGAAGTAAAAACAATAGTGTAGATGTGTTCGAGAGCCAGTAAGCCATGTAGTCATTGTTCGCCTCATCCTGCAACATGATGCAAGTACTTGTTAACAGTGTTGAATTGACAACATAAAGGTGATAAACCAGTACACTTGAGAAACATGGTGTTTTATTTATTATCAGAAATTTGTGGGACTTTCTGCAGGGGGCCGATAGTGTTCATTTACTTAGTAAGAAATTTTTCAAGGAAAGATGGCCCAAACAGTAAAATACACACATTATATAAATACGATATATAGAATGCCAAGAGAATAGGAACAAATTTGTTAAAATACCCCGACACTTACCTCAATTGCTGATCCAATGATTTGAATAAGCCGATCAAATATGCTAGTTCTTTCAGCTTCAAAGGATCTCCAATGAACAAGGCATTTGTAAATCGTGAATGCAGCAACTGGTTTTCCTTCACTAAACCCAAGAAGTTGCCCTATGCAAGTAAGTAGACTATCTACATTCTCCTGGAAGCAAGAAAAATTCATTCACAAGCCATGAGTTGAAAGCAAGTAATGATGAAACACAGAATAACAATGAGATGCATGAAATGGTTAGATACGCAAAAGGGAAGGAAATATAGGTGTAACTACTAGCGTCAATAAAAAAAGATGTCATACCTGAAATAAAACTACAACAAGTTTATTCCCTTATAATAAGAAATAAATAAACAAATAAGTCTACATTTCTACTTAGTTTGCTCTTTTGAAATTTATATTTTCCCTCAATATGTTAAAACCAGTAAAGGGACAAAACAATATAAATGTCCCCAATGTATTAGCTTTCGCAGTTCTAATCTTGTTTGCGGTAATTATATGAATAAATGTAAAAATTTGTCTTTATAGGTTTAAGGGCCGTGGTGATTATGGTATATATTCTTGTAATGCATATCCTCACGCCATTACCCAACAATCCCGAAATAATGCAGTTTCCATGTTTTCAAGTGTGTGGCACTAGTAGTACTAGAACAACCACAACTATAATTTTCTGGAGAATTAATTCAGTTTGTTAGGAATTCCCTTTTTTTGTAAATTCTTTTCTCTCTTCCGTTTTCTTCATCATTATTCCAAGCGTATACATTCTAAAAGGGCTGTTAAAATTGATTAGGGCGAATTATTGCTTGCATAGAAATAGCCTTATTTGATTGATCTAAGTTCATGCAATTTCTTATTTTTTTCTATTTTCTTTGGGGCAATTGTTGAATAAAATCAACCATACCATATATATTACTATTTATGTCAAAATCGACTTAAGAAACAATTTTTTCTGCTGATAGATTTTCATAGCTAAAATTTCTAACTCAAGGCACATTACCGTTCATATCTTCATATATATTCTAGTGATGAAATAACTGTCTACCATTAAACCCTGGTTGCACTGATAACCAGTTGGTCTCTTGGGCTGGATACTATGCCAGCCCTGCCACAAGAACAAAGAAGACACGAATGCAAATAAGATAAAAAGATGAACATCGAAAAGTTCACATACACGATGCCTTTCAACATGGGATCTCCTTAGGTTGTCATAAGATACACTCCCATATCTTCTAAGAGACGCCGCCCTTAATGATTCCTGTATATATCTCATAGCGTGATTAAGATGGTGGAAATATGCAATGACTATGTTATATAAATGAGAATATGAATGCAATCAAAAGTGCCATTTTGAAAAGTTCACTTACAGGACCACCATTCTCCACAGGCTGCAGAAGGCAGTAGATTCATAAGAACCAAAACTTGAAAGGAAGAAAAGATTCAAACA